CGCAACCTATCGCGAATTGTCTCATATTCCTGGTTGCCGAACTCCAGAATTAACATGATTGGAGTAAGGCCTTGTTGTTGTCTATTTACAATGCAATTCATTTCACATCGAGTCGTGTTATATTCGACTTCCTCGGCCCATCATGGCATCGAGGATGCGTGATTGGGGCACGAGGATTCGAGTCCAACCCACTCCCTTGAGGCTTGTGCAAGGACAAAGATGTAGGTTGTGCACACATTCGTGAAAATACCTTGCACTGTCTCTCTCTTGCTTGGTTGCAAGAAACCCAGAATCCCAGGGCAGAAAATGTGGCTCGACCGAGGCAGGTTTCGGCAGGCCGGACCCACCTTTTTGGTTTTCCACCACAAAAGGGTGGTCAGGCACGCTGTTTCCCAAGCCAATATTTCTGGTCAGTAGCCTTTCCCAAGGTGGAAGTTTCAACCTTTCTGGAGCTTTGTGAACTTGTCTTTGAAGGTCAATTTGCAAAAACAAAAAAGGCGACCAGGCAAGGCCATTGCGATAGAATTTAACCGACAAAGGCGACCTCTGCAATGCATACACCCCTTTCGCCATCCGAAACAGGAGCTGAGCAGTCCATTGTATTTAGTTGCATTGCTAGTTTATTGCTTACTTAGTTAATTTGTTGTATTAATTAATGTTGTGTATTAAATTAGCTGTAATTTCTTATTTAGCTTAGATTAAAGCTAGATGGTTTGTTACCTATTCATTTGGACCCCTCCGAGCGAGGGCACAATGTTAATAAAGTGTGTGTGGTGTGGTGTGTGTGTGGATGTATGTCTTCCAACCCACATCTTTCTCCCTTTTATTTACCATCTTATGATGGGTTAGATTAGGGCATGTTTCAATTGCATACTTATGCTGCATTTTGGCATCATCATCTATGAATGGCACCGGGCGCTCGGCGCCATCATACTAAAAACTACATTGTTTATTTCAAATTTTCGATTGAATACAATTATCTGTAGCATTTCATTATGCCATTTTATATAGCTGAAGCCTATCTTTAAGTTTGCATTTTTGCATGTGTTGTATTAGCATTTTTTTCAGGCATAGTTAGGAACTCATGCATTCTTTTCTAATTAGCCTTCTTTGGTTCGGGCAAAGTACTCGGTAAAGTTTTATTGCTTTAGCATCTTTGCAATGCGTGTGAGAGTGAACTGGCCCATTTGATTAGCATGCTTGTCCATTAGGGCTAAACTGCTTTATTGTGATATAACTGACCTGAATTGCGTGGTTTGAGGTGGGTTATTTTGGAATTGAAACAATTCACCAATTGAGAGTTTAAAGCCCACTTGCGTGTGTGGTCGTCCGACAAAAA